GGTTGGCTGGGGTGGGCAGTGGAACTAACCACATCAGGCACAGCGTGTCTTTTTTTTAAGGATTTATTTATTTATTTGAGCGAGAGAAGGCGCGTGTGCACACGCAAGCAGGGAGGAGAGGGAGAAGCAGGCTCCCCACTGAGCAGGGAGCCCAACGTGGGGCTCGATCCCTGGACCCCGGGGTCATGACCTGAGCCGAAGGCAGACACTTAACAACTGAGCCACCCAGGCGCCCCAGGCACAGGTTATCTTACATAGAGGATGGAAGTGTCTGAAACTACGGCACTAGGCACATGACTTGATAAATTTACTGGAAGTTTCTGAAGAATATACTTATGATGGGTTTTGTGTTAAATAAATTACACTATCTCAGTAAGTTGCTTAATCAAAAAACCTGGCCCAAAATAGTGACTGACAAAGCCGCTCCCTAGTTTGGCTCTGGTCCCTGTAGTCGGGCTCTTCCTGTAGTGCGCAGTCCTGGGCACTGATGTCCACAGGTTTTCCTTCCCGGGGTCGGGTGCTGACGTTTCTAGTGTCTGCAGGGAAGCAGCGCTGATTGCCGCTGCCACCTGAGTCCTTGTGCTGTGGGGAAGCACCTTGAGCCGGCTGCTGAGACGGTCATCGGAGCTGAGCTGGGGGGCCTGCTGGCGCTGCTCTTGGGGCCGAGCTTTACTTCAGCGCACAGGAACTATAGTCAGTTTTCCAGACCAGAATTTGGGACTTGGGAATCTGCCAATAGCTTTCATGCTCTGTCTGGAGCTACATTTAGAGTCTGAGAGAGATGGGGCCTCCAGGGCAGTGGATCAGGCCCTGGTTTGGATGCTGATTGCAGATGGGAGGAGGGGCTTCCGTAGGCTCTTCCTTGTGGAAGCTGCCAGGACAGCCCTCTGAAGGTGGGTGGGTGCTGGTGTGCATGGTTTAGCACAGCGATGCCTGCTTGTTCTCCTGGCTCTAGTTCAGCAGCTCAGGGAACTGCGGTCAGTGGCTTAGGGTCTCTCCAGAGTGAGTGCCTTCCCGGGGATGGAGATCAGGGCGGTGTACCGGTGGCTAGTGGCTGCCCTTTGTGGTCATCCTCACGGCTGTGAGAACCAGTGGTAGGTTCACAGTGCTGCTTTGTCTTGATTTGTTAGTGAAGCACAACGTGCATAGACAACTGTGGAGTGTCGGGCACCCCAAGAGGTCTCTCCAGCTTCTGGAGGGTTGTCCTGGCCGTTCTGCTGAGCTGACCAGCCGTAAAGCTGGGCCCAGTGGGAGTTGGTGCCTTTTCTGTGTACTGATGACTACCTGTAAGCTAGGGGGGTGTAGGAGGCATTGGTCTCCATGCTTCTGGGGTCACTGAGCAGGCCAGAGAAGATAGCTAATCATGTTGGCTGAAAGCAGGCCTCCTAAAGCCGTCTGCTGCGTGCCAAGTGCAGGAGGTGGGGCACCCTCTTCCCCGTTGGGGAGTGGGGTTCCTGCAGAGCGGAAGGCTGCATAGTGTCTGGTGTGGAGGGACAGGCACCAAACGGCCTGAGGCGTGTGTGTGCGGCAGACGGGCTGTGAGTCCGTACTTGCTCAACAGAGGCTGTGACCAGCCCTCGGCATTCGCTGAGTGGAGGGGGGGATTTGGCACCCACTTCCCAGCTGTCCATTTCTCCTCTGCCTCTCACTGGCAGAATTTGATGTGTAAGCCTTGAGGAGAAGACGCAGGTCCTGCAGCCCAGTGAGAAGGCGACCGTGGCCTGCCGTGAGGCTGGACATGTGGTGGGCTGGGTCCTAGAGCATGCCGACCCAGTGCTGAAGGTCGGTCTGAGTGTTCACCTTACCCGGGGGATTGTGTGTGGTCTCTGGTCGTGTGGGCACAGTACATTCACAGTGGCAGCCCTCCTTCTCCTTCCCAAGGAATGTAATGGTTAGGAGTTGGGTTCCAAAGATTGTTCAGGGATGTGTAGCGGAGAAGGGGGGGCGGTGTTGGTTCCAGGTGGGATCTGGATGCCGGCCACCTGACACCCCCGAGGTTTGATGTTAAACTTGCCTCACTCCTAAGCTTTGGACCCAGTGGGATGGCTCCTCTAGAACTTCCTTGGGACTGATAGGGTGGAGGTGGTTTCCATGTTAATCTTTGGGATGACCCCCCCCGGACCCACCTAATCCTGGGTGGGGCCCAGGGGTCTCCTCTCCTCCCACGCCCTTGTGACCAGTGGTCATAGTAGGGCATATTGGTCTGGGATATTCCATAGGTGGGACCTGGAAGGGGCCAAGAGCTCTGTGTGGGGAGTGAGCAGAGTACTGCCTGCCTGTGTCTTCTAGGTGTCCACCATCCCCTGGAGTAGAGGGCTCAGCTATGCCCCATGTTTGCCCAGGGAGAGTATCTGTCCACACGGGAGCAGCTCTTTGACCGCATGTGTACGATGGTGGGGGGACAGGGTGGCTGAGCAGCTGTTTTTTGGGCAGATCACCACCGGGGCTGTTCAGTGCCTGTGACCTTGAGGAAGGTCACCCTGAGCACCTCTGCCCAGGTAAAGGGCAGCCACCCTAGTGGGGGGCTCTGCATGGCTGAGTCCCTCCAGGCTTACCCCCAGCTCCTTACTTCCAGATTGTGTAGTTTGGGTTGAGTGAAAAGCTGGGACAGGTCTCCTTTGACTTCCCCCTCGACAAGGCGAGATGCTGGTGGAGAAGCCACACAGTGAGGCCACTGCCCAGCCCATTGATGAGGAGGTGCGGCTCCTATCAGCTCCGCCTGTCAGCAGGACCTGGACCTGCTGACCTGGTGCCAAGAGCAGGTGGACAAGGTGAGTGGGGCGGGTCCTGGCTTGGGGCACTCCCATCCTCATGGGATGTTGGGTTTGGGGTTTGCCTTGGCAGGGCCTGCTGTTCTGGGAGCAGCTGAGTGACAGGCAGCTGTGATTTCTAGGTGGGCAGGCCGCTGCTGGAGACGGAGGTGCTGGAGGAGGCCGACATGGTGGAGCTGTTGGGGCCCGGGCCTTTGCGGAGAAGTCCACCCATGAGGAGTTTATGGAAGGCACCGGCAGCCTGCAGGAGAATGTGTCCCTTCCTGAGGGGCGGGAGGAGGGGACTGCAAAGCGCCACCTGCAGGAGAGCCCAGCTAGGAAAGCTCCTTCCAAAATCACTGGAAAACAAATTAAAACATGGTAACAGCAAACGGGTGTTTTAGATCTGGGCAGTCAGACCACAGCCCTAGAGGATGGGGTCCCCAGTCAGAGGGGCGGGCAGTAGGCCCCCAGGGAGAGCAGTGGGCGAGTGTCCTCCTGGTGGGGTTTTGGGTTTGGACCTCCAGCTGAGGAGCTGGAGGAGGCCTCCCACAAAAGGAGGTGGGTGGTGGGTGGATTTGGTGGGCAAGTGTGAGTGCTGGTCTCTTTAGTCGCCCCAAGGAGAGGAGGCTTTGGCTCACCTCAGAAATTTAGTTAAGTGGCAGAATTAAGAAAAGGGAAATCTCAGCTAGTTATCAAGGGAAAGTGTTAGGTTTTTACAACAGCTGTTTGGGTTGGTGGAAGGCCTGTCAGTGGTTCTGGAGGAAACTCAACACTTCCCACAGGTGTGTGGTTGGGGGAGGGTAATGGAGCCATGGGGGCCCCGAACCACTGCCACTGCCCCCCCCCCAGCACCCGGGCACTGCTCTGAGCACAAGGGAAGCAGTTTCTCAGCCAAAGCAGCACCCGTTCCCTGGGTAGGCGGCTAGGTTGTATGTGGAGAGCCCTGTTGTCGCTGCCCCTGGTAACGCTCTTCCTGGTGTTGGGGAGCTGCCAAACGGAAGAAGGCCAGTTCTGGGTTGTGAGCACTAGTCCTCTGATGCCGTAGGTTGGCTGGTTGGTCTTGGAGCATGGCCAGGGCCCGGCCCGGCGAGCTGGGGTCACGACTGGCCTGGGGCTCAGGGGCAGTGTCTGCTTGTTCTCCACGCATCCTACCTCCCAGAGGTATCAGAATCATGGCAGTAGAGGGCTGTCAGCCCTCGGGTGGGTGGGTGTCCGGGACCCCTGGTGCTCGGCGCATCCTGGGGAAGGGGTGGTTCCGCTTGCTGCCTCATAGGACCTCTCCTCTCTGCTTGGCCAAGACCAGACACTGGGACTTGTTTAAAAACTCCGTCGTACTCAAAAATAGCATTTCCAACTTGGGACAAGCACTTTAGACTTTTGTTGTTTGTAAAACGTGCCATTGTTGAATTTTTTACATCTCCAGAGCCCATCCTGTAATGAAGTCCCCACTAAACCCAGTCTTCGTTAGCTGAGCTGCGTGGGGACCTGCCAGGGTCCTGTCTCGGGGCTCCCTCTGACAGAGGGGAGGGTGCTCTGGTGTCCAGAGCCTGGGACCTGTTCATTTTGAGGCTTGGCACAGCCCCTCTCTGGGGTCCGGGGCATGCTCTCAGCACACCTGGGTGCTCCCCAACCCCAACCCCTGCTGTTTCCGGCCTTGGATGCCCCCGTGCTCGCCTCCCCCGTCTCCACAGCTCTTCTCTTCACCTCTTTGGGCCATCCGGGCACATACTACACGGGCCCAGGGACAGAGGAGACCTGGCCTGGAATCTTCCATGTGGGAGGCTCAGGCTTCCCTCCAGAGAGCCCAGTGGGAACAACTGCCTGGCATGGGGCCCAGGGCCTGTCTTCTGGGCCCCTTGTTTCAGGGGTAATCCAGAGGATTGGGGTTTTGGCCTCACCCTTGGCCTTCTCACAGGCCTTACCTACTGGCTCCCTTCTCGGGACAAGCTGCTGCTCTGGGCCTGGAGCTTCCTGGGCTGGAAAGACTCGCCAGAGTGCACCTTGTGCTTTTCCAGGCCTGGGCCTGAGCTTGGGGTGGGGGACAGGATCTTCACTTCCTAAGGCCTAGAAATCCAGGGCACTTGTCCCGGAGACATGGCCCACATGAGCAGCCCAGAGGAGCCCCCGGTGGCTTCAGCTGGAGGAAGACCAGAGCTGGCTCCTAGAGCAGCCAACCCCACCCCCACCCCCCAATACACACTCCTGAATGCTGGTGTCACCTGGAACGGAAGAGACCGTGCTTGGGCCTTAGGAAGAGATGAGATTTTAATCTGATCTTGTGTAAATATTAAGCTCTGCGGAAGGAAGCCGTAGCAGGAAGGCTTGGAGATGGGGAGCATGATCCTGGTGGGTGGGGTGGGTGGGGCATGCAGCTGCCCTCAGGGGAGTTGATTTTAAGTGAACTTCGGGGTGGTGCCTGGTAAACATCCCTTGAGTTGGGGCTCATCGTATAGAGGGAGCAGGCACCGTCCCTCAGCATTTCTGAGGCCGGTTTTCTCGGCGGGGAGCTTGCCTCTAGCACAGCGGGTCTAGGGCCACGCCCAGGGCTACAGGAGAGCAGGTGTTCCTTCCCTAGAAATGTTTGAGTGGGGAATGGGTCAGGGTGGGTTGGCCTGGGGACCAGAAGCAAACTTTCACATTTATTTTAAAACTGTTCTTGGACTTGCTGTCAGAGCAGAGCCTCTTCAGTCCCTTAGGTCATAGAAAGCAGCAGTGGGAGCAGCTGAGCCTGGTGCCCTTAAGTCGGGGGCTGGGGGGCCGTGCCGTGGTCCCCTCATGTTCCCAGTCTCCCTCAGGCTGCACTACCCCAGGCCAGGACGGCATCTAGGGGCACAGACCTAGGACTGTGCATGCCTCTGTGTGCGTTTGCGTGACAGGCTGTGGGGGTGTGTCCCCCTGCCCACTGCCCCCCACCCATGGTCTGAGGCAGTCGTGCCATATTTGGTGTTCTGAGCTGAGGACGGTGGCCTGGGCTGTCACACAGGAACTAAGACAAGCAGGGTCTCAGGGCCTGGGTAGGAGGTCCTGGTGCCAAGAAGAGGATGGGATTGAAAGGAAGGTGGCGTTGTTGAGGACGGACTCCCCTACCCACATTCTTGGCTGGGTAGCAGAGCATCCCATGGGCTGGAGCGTGGTGTAGCCATTCCCAGACCGGAACCCTGAGATCCTCGGGGGTTTTGCAGAGAAGCTCTCTCTGGCTTCGGTCACCCTTAGCCCGCACCCACTTGGGAATCTTGTGGCAGATGAGAGCACCAGTCCTGCAGACAGAAGTTTCCAAGAGGCCTAGGCCACTCCCACCTCATCCTCAGGCGCTGTGGTCCCTGATCAGGGACTGGAAAGGAGCGGGGACGTAAGGCCACTGGGCTGTGCTTGTGCTGGGGTGCCCCGAGAACCTGGCCCAGAGCCACATGGAGTGGGCAGAGTGTCCGTGGGGTCAGAACTGTCCAGATTTGCACTGCCCTGGCCCCAAGGCCAGCTGGCCTAGTCCTCCTTGGGCCTCTCCACGGTGAGAAATGTGTCCACAATTGCTGGCTGGCGCTCCGGGTCACCAGGCGGTTGCTTCTCTCGGTTCTGCTCGGCCCTGGTTCGTGTCCAGGAGGGGGAGCGCAGACAGCCGGCCCGGGGCAGTGGGTGCAGGCCTGACAGGAACACAGGGGTCAGGTCACTTCTGCAGCTACTGGGCTGGGCCTGGCCACACGCTGGGGTCCCCTGGACGCTTAGAAAACACAGATGCCAGGCCACCAGTAATGTGGACTTGTGGGTCCGGGTGCAGCCCGCGCAAAGGCTTTTTTGATGGCCCAGGGAGGGTCCCTGTGCAGCCGAGACCACACCCTGGGTGTGAGCCTGGCCCCAGCAGCCAGCTGCCCCCTTATCCTCCCAGGGTGCAAGCTCTACAGGGCCGGGATCTGAGTACCCCCTTCCCACCCCCACCCACACAAGGTGTGAGAAGGGAGAGAAGAAGGTCCCTGGGTCCCCATACCCCCACTGGCGGTCTTGCCATTTCTGGGGCCCTTGACGTCTTGGGCCAAGGGCAACACTTCCTCAGGAACCGAAGGGGAAACTAAGGCTTGAGCTGTGGAGCCAGGGCTGATGAAGGCCACCCCACTTTGCTTGGCCTAACTTGTGATTAAATTCACATGTAGTAAATTTTGCTTTTGATGGGGACTGTTACTTTGGCCTTTTGTTGGCATTTGGAAAGGAGAATTGAGCAAAACAGAAAAATTCCTGAAGTTGGACAAATACACATGTAAAATGCAAAAATACTGAATGAGATGGTGCAGTCACAAGCACCAATTTTGACACACGTGTGAGAATATTATTTTGAAAAATAGGGCTTGTGGAGAGCCGTGTTCCATGGGCTGGGGCCCCAGAACCGCCCCACACCACTCGCCATGCCCCAACACCAGCCCACCTGCTGGCGATTCACCGGCCAGGCTCTCGTCGTCTGAGTCAGCAAAGACCTCGGCCAGCTCCTGGTCAGACATGTCGGTCAGCTCGGTGAGGTCCAGGAGGTCAAAGTGTACCTCCAGGGAGGAGACGCTGCTCAGGGGCTCTGCAGGGTGGGCGGAGGGGGCTGCTCATAATGGGCATAGTCTGTCCACCCAGGGCAGGGACCTGGGAAGGGACCACTTTCCCTTCCCCTGCCGCCACCAAAGCCCCGGGGAAGAACCAGAGCTCTGGTAGAGCCCCATGGGGTCAGGGTAAGATGGGGCAGGACCCCCATCCCCCCATCGACTCTCCACACTCAAGACTGAATGCCTTCTGGGTCCCCCATTTTGCAGATGGTATAGCCAAGGCCACAGAGCCCGAGCTGTTAAGAGCCCAGATGCAGCGCCCCTCCCCCCCACACACCTGGGGGGCTGTTTGGACAGGATGTGGACCTGACCCTCCATTCCCCAGGGGCTCACGGTCCCTGCAGAGTACATGCAGGTCAGCTGTACTTACGCCTCCTCTCTGTGACCTGCAGGAGCCCCGGGGCTGGTATTGGGATGCCCACCTCCTCCTCGGCCGTGGGCGAGCGGTAGCTCTCCCCTGCCCCATGGGCCAGGGTGCCCAGGGCTGCCTGTGGTCCCTCCACCTCCTGAACGGCTTCTGCAACAAAGACAGAAGGTGTTACCTGGGAGGAGAGATGCCGGTGGGGAAGACGGGAGTCCGTGGCTCACTGAGCCCTCCTCTGAGGCTCTGGGCGGCGACCAGGGTTGCCTGGGGTAGTCTTGGGTTGGGTTCCCAGACAAGGGCCACTGGGTGGCAGGAGGAAGGGAGTGTGCAACACTGTCGTCTGTCTCTACTTTCAGGTCCAGCCAACCGTCCCGTGGTCACTTTTGCATTTCCTTGCCTTTTGGGTCTGTTTGATCCAGAATGGCCCCTGCTTGCCTGTCTGTCCTCTGTGGATGCACGTATAAAAACTCACGTTCTGTTTGAATGCATAATGATTTATTTTCATAGTAAAAGAGACTGGGGGATATTCCTCTAGGTTTCTTCTATGTAATTTTTTTGGAAAGATTTAATTGCTCATTTTTTAGATTTGACAATTTTTTTTCAGTTGAGAGCAGTAGGCCCTGGGGGCAATCTGCTTGGTAGAGACTGCCACTCAGAGATGGACCCCTGCCCCATAGAAGCGCCAACCCCACCCTTCTGTTGGTTGGGCCAGCACCTTGACCTCTTAGCTCACATCCCTCCATCCAAATTTCCTACCAGTTCCTCCAGAATGTTCCAGAGCCCATCCACATCTCCCCCTCCTGCTGCCTCACCTTGTCACTCCCTAAACGCAGCCAGAGAACCTGTCAGGCATGTCCCCTGAGGCAGCTGGATCCCTTGGCTCCCCCATGCCCCCATTGTGGACCCATAAAGAGTGAACAGATGCCCTCCGGCTCCCCTCAGCAGTGCTCTGTGACGCACCAGGGTCTTGTCTAGGGAAGCCCACTTGGGCCCCTAGCGCCGGGAGCTGCCTGCCACGGGTGGGCCTTTCAACAGTGCAGTCAGCAGCCAGGATGCTGCCCAGCAGGTCCCGTGTCTAAAGGGTCTCCAGCAAAGTGGGAAGATAAGCCATCCATTCACAGCTGTAGAGCTGGCTGGGCAACACCTGGCCTCCTCTAGGAGGGCACCACCCTCCCTGGGAGGTGTGGCTAAGGGAAGGTGGGCCTGGGGACCTGCCCCTGCTGTTCATGGGGTTTGGGGCTGGCCAGGCTGGACGGGGCTCACGGGGTCTGGTCTCCACTTCTCTGATACATTTGGAACGTGACTTCTGAGTATCCTCGGAGGGTAGAGTTACACCCACCACTGTCCTGGCCCGCCCAGCCCAGCAAGGACACCTTCCCACCCAGAGGGCACGAGAGATGTAATTCAGACCCTGCTCTGAGCTGGGGCCCCTGCCTTGAACTTCTCCATCCATCCCTGTCGAGAGTCCTCGAGGAGCCTTTACTCTGTGGGACTCGGGAACCTGCTTTGTTTCCTTGAGTGGGGAAGTACAGCACCTGGTCCCTCTCTCTGAGGCTGTAGGATGGGCTCACATCACGCTGGCCTGTGCTGTCATAATTGTGAGATGCTTCCATGCACATGGCCCATGGTGACAGGTGAGGCAGGGGGACACGTAGGGGATACACCTCACACAGATGTCATCAGGACTTGGCTGCTCTGGGAGAAGCCGCCGAAGGGTTTTGAGCTGAGTAGGGCATCTACCTCCATTTTTAGGAGATGCAGGCTAGGTGGGAAGGATGAAGTCCACAGATGTTGAGACAGTACAGGGTGAGGGGCAAGCACCACTATAGATGCTGGGGTTCAGGGGTCTCGGACGGCCTAGACTGTCGCACAAACTGTTAAGAAGCACATTTTGACAAATGTCAACATCCCTGAAAGAGCCAAGCATCTACGGTCGATGGCATCATGGATGATGGATAAACAAAATGTGGTCCATCCACACAAGGGGATATTACTCAGCCTTAAGAAAGAAAGCACTGACACAGGCTACAACACAGAGGAGTCTTGAAAACATGGTAAGTGCAGGCAGCCGGTCACAAAAGGCCGTGCATTATGATAACATTTGTATGAAATGTCCAGAACAGGCAAAACCACAGAGAGTAGAAAAAGTAGATCAGAAAAGACATAGACAGTAGATCGTTGGTGGTTTCCAGGAGCTGGGGTGTGTGTGGAATGGGGGGTAACTACTAATGGGTATGGGGTTGCTTTTCAGGTTGATGAAAATATCCTAAAATTAGATGGTGGTGGTGGTTGCACAATTTTGTAAATACACTAAAGGCACTGAACCTTATGCTTTAAAAGAGTGAATTTTATGATAAAAGAAATCCTCAGTGGAAACAAAGGTTGACTTTGGATGGAATTGAAGGGCAAATCCAGGAGGACTTAAGACATCAATTAACATTTGCTGTGCACCTACTATGTGCCAGGCACCAGGCTCAGAGGCTGGGAGTCGGTAAGAGAAGTGTGACCTCTAGGACCTAGGCTTGGTTCTGGCACACACTAGGTGCACCATAAATGTTTGTCCAGTGAATGAACAAGCCCAAGACCCCACCCCATAGTTTCTAAGTGGCTGTGCTAGGAATCACCTGTCTGTGGCTGAGGCCCACAGCTCTTCCTGGGGTAGGAAACAGGAGTGATCGCAGAAGCAGGCAAGGGGTGGGGGTGCTTGGTGCCAGGCTGAGCAGGGGCACCGGGGGCCAGGCTGTGGGGTAGCAACACCGTGATTCTCAGCGCAGCCCCCATCAAGCCCCTGCAGGGGCCACTGCTGCCCTGACCTGTGCAGGCAGCAAAGCAGTGCCCCATGGGGACTGCAGTTACCACAGTTACCACAGTTCTAACCCCAGCACCGACAGCTGATGTGAGTGGATATGATAGGGTTACCTTGCACTAGGCTGCTGACCTATTTTCCGGCACATTTGTGTGAGAACTTGGCCCAAATCTTAAGTTCCCTGCTGTGTGCCCTGGGCCTTGCCCTAAGCATTGAGGAGGTGCTCTGCATGAACAGATGAACAAATTAATGAAGTGAGTAAATGAATATCATATACAACAAAATGGCAGTGGGGAGGCAGAGGTGGTCACAGAGATGGGCACCTGTACGCCATTTCCCTAGCCCCTTGTCCTTGCATGTCGAGGATGCTGGGTGGGCCGTGCCAAGGTGCAGCCTCCTGAGTGCGGGGCCGTGGCCTCTCTCCCTGCGGCCGTTCGGACAGACTTGGAGTTGGGTGGGTCCAGAACCTTGGTTTACCAAAGGTCCCAGTTGGGGCCCTTCAAGAAGCGCACTCCCTTCTCATCTCCATGTCTGCATACTTTGATATTAAGAAATTACTGCCAATTTGTTTAGGTGCAAAAATGGGATTTTCATTATGCTCTATGAAAACCTTTTAGAGACATTTTGAGAAATACAGATGAAATAATATGTCGAGATTGGCTACAAATTACTACCGAAAGGTGGCTGGTGGTGGTCTGGTTGAGCAGGCTGGGAGGACACAGGGAGCTTTACCACATTGTTCTACTTTTTTGTGTGTTCCACATGCTCCAGAATCAAGTTTTCAAAAGTCCGTGAACTGAGAGAATGACGGTCACAGCCATCCATCCATGATCTCGAGGGATCCCACGGCATGGGGATCACCAGGCCACTGTGTAGGCAGGAAATGGCTCCACGGAGTGTGAGCCCTCCCAGTGTGGCCCCCTCTGCTCCCACTCCGACTCCCGCAGAGGAGGCACCTGATAAATACATCTCTGTGCATGGAATGAGTACGTGAGATTCATAAACTGGAGGATCATGAAGCCCCTCTCCCCAGCGCCTTCCCTGCCTGTCTCACTCAGGGCTCCCACAGCCCTGCGAGGGAAGTGAGTCTGTCCCCACTGACAGAAGTGGACACGGACACTGAGGGCCAAGCTGCTTTGCCCACATCTCTCACAGCTCTGTGCTCTCCAGCCCTTGCCCTCCAAACCTTTCCCATCACATCCCCACATAGCTGCCACTGGGAAGTCCTGGGGTCCTGGGACTGTCAGTGGCAAGAAAAAGCTGGATCCCTTAAACAAGGGACAAAACAAAGAAAACCCACACCCACCAGCTCTGGGTGTGTCCGGTGGTGTTTGCCGGGTGGGTGACAAGGGCCCTCAGACAGCTGTCTGGGCTGCACCTGCCCAACTCAGACTGCAGACAGCAGTGGGTGGGCCCATGGCTTCAGGACACCCCCCTGGGGGCCATCCCTTTGGGGTCCAGATGAGGTCGCTGATGTGGCTGGGGTCCCTCCTCAGGTCCCTGTAGGGTCAAGAGTGGCTCCCTGGGATGGGACCTCCGGGAAACCCATGATGCGTCTGGGGCCTAGCCAGGCCGGTGGAGGCGCTCATGGCGCCGAACACTCTTCCTGAAAAGGACTCTTGAGGTGGGGGTTCCTAGAGTTTTCCTCCCGTCACCAGCTGTCGCCCTGCCCGAGCCAGACTCCAAAGAGGGGAGATCTAGGTAGAATCTCAGACGTCAGAGTCGCCGAGAGCCGACAGGGGCTTCGAGGAGGCCTCCTTCCGTGCATACCTGCCCTCCCAGATGCGAGAGCCCCTGGGCCTCGCCCTGGCCGAAAAGCCCTGAAAGCGTGGGGCAGGGCCCCCCCGCAGGCCATGGCCGGTGCAACGCCCCCCCCCCCCCTCCCCCCCCTCCGCCCCCCCCCCCCCGGCCCTATCCCAGCGCGGTGCCCTGCAGGATCCCAGCGGCGGCCTCCCTGCCCTAGCCCCCGGCGAACAAAGCAGATACGCGGCCCAGGAGGGCAGCGCCGACCCCCACGCCTCGCAGAGGTGTACCCCAAACTGCGACCCGGGCACACCCCATGCCCAGACCCCCCGGACCCCGGCTCTGCTGGTTTGGGGTCCAGCACGAAACTCTGGGCCAACCACCCAGGAGCGCGCCAGGCGGCTGCCGTGACTGAAAGCGCAGAGGACAAGGGGGCGGGGACGCGATGTGTGCGCCCCCCGCCTAAAGCGGGGGCCGTTCCCGGGAGGTGCCCCCGGCCTGGCTCCCCCGGCGGCAGGCCAGGCTTCCTCCGGCTCCGGCCAGGCTCAACTCGGAGATACCGGTGGGTCTCGTGCGGCCCCCAGGAGCAGCCGATGAGTGGGCTGGGGCGGGGGGGGGAAGGCGCAGCTCGGGGACTCCTGGGGACTTGGGGCCACACTCACCTCCCGGGCCGGCGCCCTCCGGGGGCTCCATGCGGCCGGCGGGGTCTGGGAGGGGCGCGGGCGGCGGCGGCGTCACCCAGCCCGGGCGCCCCTGCAGCTGCGGCGGCGACTTGGCCCCAGCTCGCGGCGCAGCGCATCGGGGCAGCAGCCGGGGGGCCGCGGCGGCAGGGAGGAGCCCGCGGGGCGGGGCGCGCAGCTGCTCCGGGGCCCGGGTTCCCCCTAGCATCCTCCCCCCGGAGCCCCGCGGCACAGGTGCGGCCCCGCCCCGCCCCGCGCGCGCCCCCTGCCGGCCCAAGCTCCGAGGCCCACCTCTCCCACCGACCTCCGGGGCTGCGGACCCACCCGCAACCGGCGGCGGCCTCCCATCCCCGGTCCGGCCCTTGCGCCCTCTGCGCCCCCCACAGCGCGCTCACTTCTCCTGCAGCGGTGCCAACTTTCGTCCATTTGTTCACCCCCAGATATTTATGGGGTGTCAGTTACGTGCCGGCGCCTCGCGGGCCAATGGAGAGGAGGCACAGAGGGGAAGCAAAGGCGGCGCCCAAACCCTTGGCCCCAAAGCAAAGAATTGCAGATTGTGATGAATACTGTGAAGAACACTGCGGGTGGGGCTGGGCGAGAGTTTAATGGCGAGGCCGGATGGGGGCGTGGGTGGGAGATGGGAGGTAGGGAGATGGGAGCGGGCAGAGAGAGCGCCCCGGGAGGGAAGGCAGGGTCTGGGCGCCCTGAGAACGACATGCAAGCCCCTGGAAGGCGACCCTGTGCCAAGCTCTTTGTGCGCAATATCTCAGTCATTCCCCCAGAGATCCTAAGAAGACGGTGTCCTGGTTTTCCAGGTGGTAAGCTGACCAAAGTTGCACAGCCAGGCACTGGAAGCCAAAGGGTCTGAATCCAAGCCCAAAGGCTGCACTTTTATAAAAAACAAACCAAACCAAAGAAGAGCATCAGGGAGAAAGAGTTTGTTCCCGGCTGGGAGTGGAAAAGGCCCACAGAGGAGGAAAGTGGGTATGAATTTGGTGTTTGCAGGAAAGGCACCATCTCAAAGGCAGGTGGTCCACATAGCTTCAGCCAACCAAGGCACTCACTGCCCAGTCCAACTCCAGTCATACAGAACCCACAGCCTTTGAGATTGTCAGTCAGCGAGGCTGGCTAATAGTTCCCATTTTTCTTTGGTTTACAAAACAAACGAAAACAAAAACTTCAGTCTGCAACCTTCTAAAATGATTTCATGACCCACCAGAACTAGCCTTTGTTGTGAGCTACAGCCTCCTTGCAACCCCAAAAGGGGGAGAGAATGGTCTCTCAGGGAAGAAACTGAATTATAGGGTGGATGGTGGGGACATAAGCAAGCCAGTCAGTGCCCTAGGAAGCTGGGGCAGTGGGTGGGCACTGGCTGTTCAGAGTCAGCTGGGGTGGCAGATTGTAGTTCTCAAAATGGTGAGATCAGTATTTCTGATTCCACTTCCAGAACCTTCCGCTCCCATCAAGACACTCCCCCATTGATACTCCTTCTGTTGAACCTGGGCGAGGCTTGTGATGGCTCTGGCCAATAGAGTGTGGCAGAAATGATGCCATGTGACTACCGAAGTTGGGTCATAAGGGGGTTCAGCTCAGGAGGCCCCTCCCTGGAACCTGGCCACCTTGTGTGAGGAAGCCCAGGCCACTTGAGAGGCCACCTGTGTGTGTTCTGGCCGCCAATAGCCATTAGGCCAGACTCAAGTCTCTCGGCCAATGGGCAGACATGAGACTCCACCTTTGAGCCACCCCTCTGGGGGTGGTCTGTGGAGCTGAGGTGTCCTGTCCCACAGAGTCCTGGCTGAGTTGTAAATTCATGAGCAAGAGAGATATTGCCACTGTTAAACCACTACTTTTTGGGGGTGACCTGTTATACAGTCATAGTAACTGTAAGAGCAATTGTTTAATAATTATCCCCATTTGAGAGATGAATAGGTGGATACAGAGGGGGTCTTGTCAAAGGCATCCCAGCTAGTGAATAGCAAGTGATCTGATTCCAGAGGCCAGTGTTTATTTATTTTTAACTTTTCATTAAGAACATTTTCAAATAAAAGGAGAGAGAATAGCATGATTAACCTGCATGTACCCATTATCCCATCACCGAGATTCAACAGTTAGCAACTCATGGCTGATCCTGTTTCCTCCCTATTATCAATCACCTCTCTCCACTGCTGGATTGTTTTTGTTTTGTTTTGACTAGGCTCCATGCCCAGAGTGGAGTCTAACAGGGGGCTTGAACTCATGACCCTGAGATCAAGACCTGAGCTGAGATCGAGTTGGACATCTAACCAACTGAGCCACCCAGGCACCCCTGCTAGATTGTTTTGAAACAGATCCTACACACTATATAATTTCATTTGTAAATACTTCAGTATCGATCTCTAAAAGAGAGCCCAAAAATAAATAAAAAAGAGAGTTCATTCTTCTTAAGGACTCTATTATCCCAACATCCAGGCATCTTTCGAGTTGATGTAGTGGCCCGGGGCAGTTTACTTGACCACCGAGGAAGCAGGCATTAGGAAGAGCCAGACATGAGACAACATCAGTGGGTTTGTATGTATCAACATTTACTCTGTGATTTTGCTGGAAACTCAGATGCCATTTATCTGGGCTTCAGAGCTGCACAGCTTGATGCTGAATAAAAGTATCCTGAGCCACACATGTGGAGAAAAGGCTCTTTTCTAAGAATCTGAACTCAAATACAATATGAAAAGCACAGGTCACCATGGGCCCTGTCAGGGCTCCCTTGAACTCTTCATCTCTGCAATCCATACCGATAAACTAGGCGACTCTGTTGGTTTTAACAAATGAATTCCCTGTCTGGTTATCCTTAGCTAACCCTCTTATTCTTGCCCTTTTTGCTGAAAGAAATTAATGTTAATGCATTTATTTAATTCAGAGATCCGAGACTTCAAAAGCAAAAAAACCAATCAGCATGAGGCACCTAGCATATCGGGCAGTGTTAAATAACAATAATTACCCCTCTGTGTTACCCAGCTGCACTGTCTCGCCTGCCAACCCTCCTCTGGGAGGCCCTGGCATCGCAGGAGGAGGCGCCTATCAGGCCAGTGGTGTCTGGCTCAGAGGCGCAGGCTCTTGGCTGTCCAGGCACAGTGACATGACCAGACTTCACAAAGGCCTCCGGGCTGGCTATAAGTAAATCATGGCTCTGTGCAGGCCCCACTCCAAAGCAGCCGGGGCTTGGGTGGGCAACCAGAAGCCCCTTAGGGTCATCACTGTGGCTCTCAGATCCCTGCCTCTGTGTGTGCTGGGGCCTGAGCAAGCCCAATGAACGAGGCATCTTCCTCCTTGGGTGGGACTGGCCGATCCAAGCTCACCTAAACCCTTCTTCTGCACTCACACTCTGTCCTCAGTGCAACTCTCCAGGGGGGAGAAGATTCTGGAATCTTCTCCATCCCCAAGCAGATGGGAAAACATGACCTGCTGCAAAACCACTAGTTAGGAAGATGCCAGTGTAGAGGGTGTAGAAAAAAGAGGACAAATACTGTGTAAAGACGGGTACTCTCAGCTTTCTGGGTGACACAGAGTGAGGCACATAGGTAATAGGGTGAAATTCACTTTCGAAATCACATAATGACTAGCGGTTTTCAGAGCAAAAGGTTAGGAAGGGAACCGCAAAACTCTTTTTTTCTGCAGTGCCTGTCTGGAAACTTCTGGCGGACGCTTCTCGATTGTCCTCAACGTCCTCGTCCGTAAGGACAGGCAGGGGTCACAGAGGAAACCTCCTCAGAAAGAGCAGTCTAAGTCTGAGAAGGAGACACTTGCGGATTTCAGAACTTCAGAGCTAGCTGGAAAATATTTTTCTCTCCTATTTTCGTTTTGTTCTGACGGTTTGCAGAAACCCAGCTACCTTCTATCCTCACTCGGACAGCAGGTGGGAGGAATCCTCAAAGGCGAGCAGGGTGGGGTGTGGCCCGTGGGCATAATCTCAGCCCAGACTTGAATCTCGTTTGGATACCCTCTGGGAGCCTTGGGTGGCCGATCCTTCTTTGCTCCCTGTCTCCGTCCTTCACCGAAAGCATCTTTACCGAGCACCTGCTATGTACTGTTGTAGGCGCTGGACGTAAGAGAAAACAGTTCCTCCCCCCTTCATGGAGCTTAAGTTCTAGTCAGGGACACACGCAAAATCCCGCAACGAAATGCATTTAGGAATTTCGGGGAGATGAAGCGCGTGGTTGATACCGGGCTGCCGGAAAAATCTACCGGACTCCGCAACCCCGTGTTGCGCCCAGTGCGCGTTGCTAGGAGCTCGCCTCCGCGGTTGCCAGGGGCTGTCGCGGCCGGCTGAGTCTCGCGAGGATCTCCGAGACTTCGCGCGGGACCGCCCATCGGTTGCCGGGAGACGGCGCAGCCTCGGCGGGGCGGGAGCCATCTGTCTGCAGGCCGCGGCCGGTCTCGACCACCAGAGCCATGGTGAGGAGGCGCGGGAGACCCGGCTGGGTTCCGTGCGGGGGCCTGGGGCTCCTTGGTTAGCCGGCCCTGCGCGCAGAGAGACGACTGGACGGAGAGGCCTGGGTTCCCGGGACCTGTGCACTCTGAGACCCCAGAATGGGGAGGCCTGGAGCTCTGGGTTCCTGGCATTGAGGCCTTGGTGCTCTCGTGGCGTCTTCGTGGGGAGAGCACTGGGTGCTACGGATCCCGCACGCACTTTGGAGCTGAGAGATCTGGGCTTTCCAGGATCCGGTGCTCACAGGGGTGCGCATAAACGCCCCCCACCCCAAAAAAATTCCAGGGTCTGGTGTGCACGCTTTCCAGAAGACAGAACCTGGGTCAGAAGGATTTCCTATCTGGAAGGAAGTCTCAGTCCCCCAGATCCTTGGGACCCAGGGTTAGGGGCCTGGAGCACAGTCGGGGGCAGGCGATACCCTAGGACCTCCAGTCTCTGGGATGAAGAGCCTGCGGCGTACCACAGTGGCTAGAGGTCCGTCTACCCCGAGGCGTCCTGGACAGAGCCTCAGGGTACAGGAGCTGCTCTTCCGTTGGAGAGCCTTGGAGGAGTCAGGCCTGTATCGAGATGAGCAGGGTGGGAGCTCTCTGCCTCGCCAGTTCTTCCTGCCTC